AAGACTTTTCCGGTCAGGTTCATTGGAATTAACTTGAAATACTAACTTACTGGAGATCACACCCGCTATTATGAATGCCCTCAAGGACAAGATTCGGAATTTGATCAATGCCGCAATGGCCAGCAAGTCTGGGCCAAAACGCATCCTTGCATTTGATCCCAATGCACCAGGCCGTCGTCTTTTTCCCTCTGATACGCCAAAGAACAACGGACATTGGGAAATCCGGCTTGACGCAGGAGAACGCCGAAAGGATAACCCCAACTTAGTGGCTATACACCTTCAAATCAACCGAGAAGCCAAAACTAAAGGACTTAAAGACCTGTTAAAATCCAATGGAACGCACCACACGTACTCGACAGCATGGGTTGATGTAACACAGCCACCTACTCAGGCAGCTGCCGACAAACTCATTGATGACCTGATTGAAAATCTGGAAGTTTAACCGAAGTGCAAATTTTTCTTTTCACCTTGCAATGTCTTCAACTTTGGCTTTGAACCTAGGAGGGATAATTATTTTTGCATAGCTACATTTATGTATTTAAGGATAACTATCTATATGTATGTATTGAATATTCAAAGGCTGTATTTTTTTGCTTTATGTTCTCGTAGAGAAGGTATAATTAGCTAGAACCCAGAGCAAATGTTACAAATGCTCAGTAGTGACTAGAACTTACTAAAATGATAAACGTAATATTACAATAACATACTATCTCTATATTTTGTCTGGCATTAGTAATCTCAGAAGAAGTAAATGAAATAAACTTTAAAATATATGAATTCGGTAATTAGGCTAGTCAACCTTAACTTTGCATAGTTAATTACACAAAGTTTATAAATAGATTATTCCTTTTATATAAAGGTAACATGTTAGTAACTGCGTTATTCGAGCATTGTAGTCTTCCCTTTATAGATATTATAGTGTTTGTTCCATTAACGACACATTAAAGGCCGCAGGTCCTTTTTAGCCCCCTAACTGGAGATGAAACAAAAATATGCACCTATCTCACATAAGTGTGAAAGCAGCTTATAACTAGATAAAGCGAAGGCTTAGATAACTAATGATTATTCCGCCCCCTGCAGTTCGACAGCGGCTATGTATTCCTAAGGGAGCACACTAGGTGGTTAACGAGGATTAAATGCGGAAGTACTTACGTTGGGTGTGTTCATGTTATTTGATGCATCATCCAGACGAGATGGTATCCAGAAATATCTGCTAGCCTGCATGGATCCCTGAAGAATACCCTAGTTGCCGGGGTGGACATGGCTCATTTATGATTATCAACCACCTTGCTGAGAACCTTCCCCTTATCCTAATTGTTACTGATCAATAGCAGAATGTCCCTTTACCTATTTGGGCGGGTAGCCGGGCCATCTAGTTACCCACGTTGAGTAAAAGCGCTTATGAGATCATTTTATGTTAGCCATGTGTCTTCTACTTTTACTTGGCCGCGGCAGTACTTCATATAGACCTGCGGGGTCTATGCTGAACCGCCTGTTGGCCTAAGCCATGGATATTCTGCTATTCTCGTGGCAGCAAAAATAACCAGGGTATATATTTATCACAAATGTTGCATGTCGCATTACTATATCCTTGTGGTGCCTAGCCCCAATCTGCGGACAGCCACGCTAAGCCTCTGGCTGCTATGTAATGTAGGAACAGCCTACTGCCAGTGTAATAGTCAGCAAAATGCATCGGAGATTGGGAAGAAGGCGGGGAATGAAGTTCAATGAGAACGTCATGAGTTCCTTGCTGCTGCTCTCACAGGGCCCATTGCGGTATTTAAGGGCGAGGTAAATCCCCTCGATCTGGATGGTACGCTTCCTATCACATATCAACCACTCAAGGGTGATTTATATAAATCATTGCACCACTCCAGAATACAATGAAAATCTCCTTTACTGCCCTTCTGCTTTCAGCAGTGTCCCTCTTCACCGTCGCCAGCGCAGTCACTCCGTGGAAATTCTACCGCAGCATTAGTTCCACGGAATATGCCAACACTCTGCGCACAATGACCGACACCGGCTTTCGTCTGACGTATGTCTCGGCTTATGCCAACTCAGGCGGGGAAGCTAGATATAACGTCATCTTCGAGAAGCCTGAGTATACGCCTGCATGGCGCACCAATTACGGCTATAACGTCAATGAATTCAACAGGACCTTTGAAGAACTGAAGACTCAAGGCTTCCGGCCTGTGTTAGAGGAAGGGTATAGCTTTGGCGGTGAGCGTCACTACGCCAGTATATGGGAGAACAACACAGAAGCCATCGAATGGGATGAGCGCAGAAACATGTCTGGGGACGATTTCACGATCTGGTTCAAGGAATTGATGAAAAAGGGGTTTCGACTTCGACACCTTAGTGGGTACGAGTTCAACGATAAACAACAGTTCCGCTGGCGTGTTTGAAAAACGGGAC